AGTCATCTGTGGTGGCTGTCTCTCCGAGAAACAGGGACACTGGACACCCAGACTGGTGCAGAGGATGACTACATGAGATAAAAACACTAAGATTATTTTTTTGTGTGCAATGTATGCATTCAATTGAAAAGAAAAAAAAGAAAAAAAACACAAACATACATAGAACTTTGTGTTTGTGCAGACAAAAAAAAAAATTAAGATTACCCACTCCATTTTGCTCTCCTTTCAGAGACACTGAGCAACCCTTAGATTATTGCATTTTCCTGGTATGGAATATCTAGAATGAAGGTGCCCTGGAAACTATAGCTTGCTTGCTTGCTTCACTCTCTCATTCATTCAAAATGTATTTATTGAGTACCCACTGTGTCAGGTACTGTTCTATGCCTTGCACACACACCAATGAATAAAAGAATTCCTGTGCCTGGAAGGCATAAGATGTCACTATTAATACCAATAAAGTACATATTGTGTCAGATGATGATACGTGTTATGGTGAAAAATGAAGGCAGGAAGGAGCGAAGGAGTGCTTCTGTTGGGCCTGCTACTTGCAATATGGAACCAGGAAGATCTCGCTGACCATTGAGTGAAAGAGGTAAAGGAGGTGGGAAGAGCATCCCTAGCAGAGGGAAGAGCCAGCATGAAGACCTGCAGGCAGGATTATGCTGCTGGGGCTCAGGGAGCCGGGGGTGGCTGGAGCAGAGGGAGCTTGATGGTAAGAGCAGGCCAGCAGGCTGCAGAGACTTTAGGGACCAGATTGAGACTTGACCCTACTCATGGTTAGGAAAGGACATTCCACTCTTGGAGGGAATAAGAAGATTTAGGAATTTGCTGTGCCTCCTTTGAGGTTGGCTAGATTATATCCATCTCCCTGAGGCTAAATCATTTTTGAAGTTTTTGGCATATTTAACTCTGCCCATGAGAAGTTGAGAACCTGACTCACAAATTTGGGAACTTGTTTATGGTGGTATTTTAGGGTCACCAACCAGGCTCCCAAACCTTATCACCCCATGTATTACCAGCAGATGTTTTAGATGTAAGCTCTTTTCCACATAATGTAAGCACTCATGATTATTCATTGCCTTAATGGTGAGTTTATGAACCTACAGAGATAGGGGATTTTATATAGAGTATGGGATTCATAAACATTTATGATAAAGTTCATTAATTTATGGGCTTTAGTGTGAGACAGAGCTGAGCTTGAATCATGGAATTGACACAGCTGGGCTTGAATTCAAGCTGGACTTGAATCATGGAATTGACATGGAACCTTATGAAAGTTATTTAAGTCTCTGAGGCTTTATTTCTTCTACCTTAAAGAGGGTGATGGTAAACATTAAATGCATTAAAAAGGGCAGTTATAAGGACTAACTGAAATCATGTACTGGTTGCAAATGATCAGTCCTCAGCACATGGTCTCCATTCTGATCTACCCCTTCTCAATTTCTTCTTTGCACTGTGTAACTCAGAGTATCTGCCCACAGTGAATCATAATGAAATCTTAATTATCGTCAATTTTGGCAACAGACTCAAAACAACTCTCAAACAGGGAAGCATGGGTTGTTTGAGCAGAGGCTGTGTAGAGGGCAGGCCATTCTTGCTGAATTATACCTCTAGGCAATCCCAACTCCTACAGAGCTGTGGAGGGGAAATGAAATTATAAAACTAAAGCATTCAATACAGTACTTGGCTGTTGTTTGTCTACACCAAAGGTTAGGTTTTATTTTGATCTTCCTGAAATTTTGGGAAATTCTCTAGTGGAAATGTATATGTGTCCTACTTATGCCATGAGCAAGTATATGAAACTATGTGAACAACAGTGACTTGTTCTATTGATGACAATGGGGAATTAAGAGGGTTTTCTAATTCTTGGGTCTGAAGATTGGGCATAAATTGAATGGGAATTGAGTACTGTGATGGCTAATTTTAGCTGCCAAGTTGGCTAGGTTACCTGATTTTCAATCAACTCTTAATCTAGGTATTTTATAGATCTGGTTAACATATATAATCTTTAAGGAAAGGAGATGATCTTCGATAACGGGGGTGGATCTTATTGAATAGTTGGAGAGCTTAATGAGAAAAACTGAGTTTTCTATGAGGAAAAAGGAATTCTGCCTCAAATTGCAGCATCAATTTGATGGTGCTTAGTTAGTTTGATGCCCTTGGCTGAGAGTTTCTAGACTAAGAGCCTGCCCTACACACTTTAGACTTGCCCCATTCTTGCATAAGTCTGTTGCTTAAAATAAATCTATAAATATATATATATATATTTATATCTGTGTCTACATGTATGTAGATGTATATGATATATATCTCTACCTCCCATTCCCCCCTCTCCAACTCTATCTACACATGTGCACATATTCCTACTAGTCTGTTTCTGTTTGTGTGCAGAAACCTGACTGATGCAGGTGCATATGAATGGTTACTTATTCTTTTTTTTCTTTTGTCAGTAAATCTTTATGATACCTCATTTGCAAGATGCAATTTTACTGAAATGAAACTTGAGTAGCTCCAAAGTGGTGTTCTTTTTTTTTTTTTTTTTTTGGCCTAGGCAACCTACCCCCAGGGTTGGAGATCACCCCTACCTGGATGGTGACTGGCATAGGCTACCTATAAGGTTCATGGGGTCCATCGTCTGGGTTTCCAGGTGGACAACAGAATGAACATAAATGTCAAGCTGATAATTTGTCTCTAAAAATATAGATATGTTAAGAGGTCAAAATGTGTAAACTGATTGGCCTGCTATTCTCTGAGTATAAATTCAGAGCATAACTAGGACATAAAAACTTTGTTGTCTAAGTGAAAATGTATTTGTGCAGTGATGGTAGCACTGTAATTTCTAGAATGAATGCACAGGAGAACAAATTACTATGAGAAGAGATATTGCTCTAAGTGTAAATTTGCTTCATTTTTTGCCTAGTCTGTCCATAATTATATGGAAATAAACCCCAAGTGAAAAGTGAGACAAAAACTATGACTTCATCTGAATTGGTGTCATTGCTCTAAGCTAGAAGGAAAAAGAAAAATATGGGATGGTTTCACTTGTAGCAGGTATATAGGGAAACCAAATAAGACATCAGTGTAAAAAAATAATAACAGTACAAAACACAACAAAGCAAAAAAAGACATTATAAATCAGAGACATACTGCAGGGGAGGAGGAGGGAGAGGGGTGAGAGGGAGGGAGGGAGAAGCACAGGGGACTGAGGTGATGGTGCACGGGTGCATTGGGGAAGGAACCTCTATGGGGACTACACCTGAAGGAGTGGGGGAAGCAAACATTGTTTAAAAATGAAAAATGATGTAAAAAAGTATTTGGGTGGGTTCCCACTTTCACATGCTTGTCTCCAAATTATTTTTCTGCTTTACTCTTTTCTCTGTTATAAAGCATTCCTCACAGCACTGACAGAATTTGAACAAAAATATCTTTTATTTCATTTTGGATTTACTATTTTCTCACCGTACTTTTTATCATAACTAAGCAGCCTTTATGTGTACTCCTTGGTCATATTTTTATAACTTGCTACATATTTGATTATCAGCTATACTAAGCACTGGCAGGGGGAGTTGTGTTTCAAGGAGAGAAACCAACCAGGAACATAAACCAACATAACCTGCTAAGAACCAACTTCCTTAAATTACTCAGAAGGGCTATGGAGAATTAAACAAGATACCAGAACCTTCAAGAAGTAGTTACAAGCAAAGATGGACTGCTTTTAATGTGGTGGCAATTGACATTGTCCATAAAAGCTCAAGATTGAGCAAGACAAGATATCTGTTCATAGAGAGCAAAGCTGTAGAAAAACAAATCAATAGCCTCAAAAACCCCTCCTTTCCACATCTCCATCTTGCAATTAATCCTTAGAAAGTTCGGATTTGCAGTACTGCTCAATCTTGTCTTGTTTTTTTTTTTTTTGCTTCCCCTGCAATCTTCAATTGACTCTCCTTCTTTCTTAATTTTTAAAAATTTCCACTCTATTCCTCTAATTTGTTTTCCTTTCCTTCCTACCATGAATTTCCTGTATTTCTCTTGCTTCCTCTTCCCCTCCCATGTTTCTCGCTCCTTTATCTTATTCTTCGAATTTCTTTCCCCTGTTCTTAATTTTTCCTCTCCAACTGATCTGTTGTGGTTTTAATCAAGGCTTAGGTGCTTTAAAATTACCCAGTGACTGGCATTTTCTCCCTGAAAGGAGAGGGATTTGAGACTGTGAAAAACTAACTACAATGACCCAACACATTCAATTTTCAGCGCAATGCTTTCCTTTCTTCTCAGGTGCTTTTGCTTAGGATTAGAGATGGACCACTTACTGCAACTCACAATGGCAAAGCCCTTCAGGCCTGACTTCTCAGCCCTGTGAATCACACTGCAAGGTATATCTAAGCCACTATGTTTACACTGATTGCTAGAATTTTTAAATTGCCCTTCACTGGGAAAATCTTACTCAAATCTGCCTGGAACACAAAGTCGCATTATTTTATAATGTGGCAACCAGACTCATTCTTTTCCTTGGCCACTCATTTCCTTTCCCCCCACACCCAACACACACACACACACACATACACAAACACACACACTTAGTTTTTGCAATGTGAAACAAAAGCACATGGATGATTTCTGGGACAAGGGTGATGGAACTTTGTCTGGGTCACCTTGGCCAGCGTGACCACAAATAAGATCTTTACAGAGGGAAGAACAGTAAAAATAAATAAATAAAAGAGATGGGCCCTTCAGGCCTATATGATTTTATCATATGATTTTTTTAAAATATTAAGCTGCCATGAATATAGCAAATTTATTCGACTCACTTTAGCTCTTTGTAACACTTAGAATCTACAGTTTTTAATTTCTTAAAATCATTCTTTTTGGTAAGTTTGGCTGTGAACTCACTTTACCTTTCTGTGTTTCTTGATGAGCAACCGCACACACCTCAATGATTAAGGGCTCGAAGTTAATCTCTGTCCTGCAGCGGGATCTGGGAATGCATCATTATCAAAGGATATTTGTGGTCAAAGCCATACCATATTCTGAAGAGCCATGCACTCTCTACTCTTGTCTTGCTTTTGTCCATGTTATTTGCTTCCTGGGGAAAGACAATAGAAAAAGGCACTGGATAAATAATCAACATGAATTATTGATCGATAATACCAAAATTAATACATAAAATATATTAATATATTTTCAATATAAAAATACAAGTCAAACCAAATTAAATTTAACCACACCAGAGAAAAACTTTCTAGATTAAAGGCATTTCTATAGTAAAGCAGCTGCCAAACAAATTATCTCGTAGGTCTTACCCTGTGGATGAGAGTCTTGTTCCATAATTCAATATTTACCTTTCTTAATAATCCCTACTTTATTAAGTAGCTAGGGAATGTGACTTTTTGACATCAATAAAAAATAATGTTTCTGTTAGATCACTGTCATGGGAATGTGGCAGTTTACTTCTGTCCAATTTGGGTGATATTTATTTATAATTTACCAAAAGGTCAAGACTAAAGGTATGATGAATGTCTAATAATTGTTAAATGAATTTTCATTCATTCTCTGTTGGATAGGTGGCTATTGAGGCTCTGGTTAATGTTTGATAGCTTCCTGCTTTGATTCTTCAGAGTTTTAAAACAGATATTCCTGGTAGGAAGCCTGTAATAATTGAATGTGCTTGTCTCATTTCTTTTTTCAAAAGGACCACAGTGGGAAGGAGAATTGGAAAGGAATTAAGAAGGACAAAAGAGAAAGTGTTTGATGAGTGTTCATGTGAGAGAGGAGAATGAAAATGTGAGAAAAAGAAAGAAGGTGAAAAAGTTTTGTGAACTTCAGAGACAGCACAGATAATGAATACTCCACTTTGGGCAAAAGGAGATCCAGGAGCATTATTACTTATTTTGTATATCTCTTTTTGCATATTAAGAAAGGAGAATTCCAGACTTTAATCAGTTATAATTATCTCCATCATTAAAAGCATTTATACTTAATGTGCATTTCATTGCTTTGTTTGGGCCCACGGTTTCCATCCCAAATTGTATCCCAGCCCAGTGATAATGTGAACGTTTGGAGGAGATGATGCCACACACAGACATGGCAATCCACTGGCTGCTCCCCATTAATCCTTGGATGAACCTGAGCTGATTTGCTTTTACTTTATTTACTTTTTGGCTCATTCCCAGCTGATTTCATTGGTGATTAATGATAAATAGCTGAACACAAAGGTCTACATCCTACTCTGTGAAAAAAGTGTACCAGCAGATGCTGCAGTGCCATCCCTCCAAATGAGTTGGGAATACAAGAAAATAAAATGTGGTCCATTTCTAGGCAGCCATTTATCTTTAAAATGTCCAAAATGTTTGAAACAGATATACACAGTAAGATTAGAAGCCCAAACTGGCAGCCCTTCTTATTGGTTGGATTAAGATCTTGCATGGTTTCCCAGTGTTCCCAAACAGTCGTCTGCCATTGGTCTACATGATATTGATGGGAATTCTGTGCCAATCATTCAGGAGAGAATGGCTTTGACAGTATTAAATAGATTTATTATGTACATGACATCTCATAGTCTTTCATTTATAGATGAGTATTGTAATTCTTCAAGGGGAAAGTGTTTCTCAAACTGATGTGGCCATAGAATTCATTCCCCAATCCCAAGCCCCATGGCGAGCCCTCTATGATCTGTTTGTGGACACTAGAGCTCCACAGATCTGTTTTCTGATAGACCTGGAGTGCCATGCCTTGTTAGAGCTTGATTTATTTTTCATATTCCCTTATAAAGGAAACCAGGTATCTAGTTCAATTTCTACTCTTGCCTACATCTTTTTTTTAGTTGTTTCTGTCCCAACAAAGATGTCAGATTTGCAAATACTGTTGCATGCAGTGTTTTCTTTACTATTTTGCAAGAAGCACAGTCTATTGAGCTTTAGCCATCTAAGTAAAACATTTCATGCTAAATTTTGAAAATTTCTAGGCCAAAAATGGGGATTTCTCTCTTCCCTCCCCACCAGGCCTATGCCCCTTTTTCTTTTCTTTAACTGCAACAAAGATTTACATAATCGTGTCCATCATCATGCATAGGCAATTAATTCCTAGACAGGGTGCTAGTCATATTATCCTGTCATTAATTCTTCAGTTATTATTTTCCAGTTTTCACAAAAACCCACCAAGCTAGGTTGCATTACACATACTTTATAGGTGAGAAGGGAAGTTTAGAGAAGGGCAGAGATAAGCTCAAAGTTACACAGCTAGCAAGCAACAGAACAGGATTTGATTCCAAAGATAATATTACATAATTATGTAATACATAATATTACATAATTCCAAAGATAATATTTCACTCAATCATTACATTTTGGGAAGCAATGAACTATGTTGGTAGAGTATGGGTAGTTTAGGGGCAGGTATGGTATGGGAACAACCCCTGAAGGGGGAGATCTGATATCTCTATAACACAACCCATGTTGTAAACCAGTTACCTTAAAAAAAAAAAAAAAGGAAAGAAAATTTGGGAAGCACAGACATTGTATAGCTGGCTACTTGGGCTGCAGTATCCTTGTCTGTTAAATAAATCAAAGAAACTGAACTGGCTGGTGTCTGAGGTTCTAATCATATGGAAAATGCTATATTTTTATTATTGACAACAACAATAACCTCTTGAGCATATATCATGTGTCAGGCAATATTTCAAGTTGCTTTTCATATATTAACTCTTAATTCCTATAACCATTTGATGAGGCATGTTCTATTATTACTCCTATTTTAAAAATGATGAAGTTGAGGCAACTGGTGCACGGAAATCTTCCCAAGCACACTTGGAGCCCCTCAGCAGCCACGATTCCTTTCTGCTTGGGACTTTGGGATACAAGTGGGCAGAAATCTAGGACAAAGGAGTAACTGAACAGAAAGGAGATGTCAGGACCCTGGGGGTGCTCATGAGCTGAGATAGACCAACCACATATACTCTATAACAGAATCAAAATACATGGTTCTCCTCAGCTGGGTGAACTGTGGATGGCTTAAAAAGTGCCCCTATTCCAAATAAGCCATCAGTGTAAAAAAATAATAACAGTACAAAACACAACAAAGCAAAAACAGACAATTATAAATCAAAGACATATAGGAGGGGAGGAGTGGGGAGAGGGATCAGAGGGAGGTATGGAGGCGCACAGGGGACTGAGGTGATGCATGGGTGCATTGGTGAAGGAAACTCTATGGGGACTACACCTGAGGGGGAAGCAAACATTGTTTAAAAATGAACAATGATGTAAAAAATTAATTAAAAAATAATAATTTTTTTAAAGTACCCTTATTGAAACCTAGTGTCACTACTAGGAATTTCTTTAGACTCTGAATTACTGGTTTCAAGGGCTTCCCGAGGTCTTATATATTCTCCCTTCCTTTCTTTCCTTTTTCCCTTTGCCTTTATTTTATTATTTTTTTTTTTCTCTGAAGGACTACATCAGAACTCACCAGCACTCCTGAAAGAGCTTATCCTCTGTTTCTGGCAAACCTTTCAGGGATATTTCTTGTGTCATCTGATAAGAATTATGCACATTAGACGGCATTTTAGAATAATGTAATATTTTGACCCATGTAATCTTTATTTTATTTGGGATACTGAGATACTATTTAGTTCACTACTTTGTAGAGAAATAAACTGGGTTCCAATTAAAATAAAACATGGAACATGTTTTCCCACATGAGGGAAATACCACTGATGACCAAGCATTGACTTTTCTGCTGATCCTAGATAAAAATTTCAGTGTGTATCTGAAATATCTGTTGGCCCAGTTTTGGATCCATTCATTTATTTCTCTGAAGTTATTGATGACTTAATAACTTGGTTATGAAAGGCCATCAATAAATGAGTAGAAATAAATGAGTTAGTCTACTGTGTGCTCTGCTTGTTCAGTGGGGGTTGAAGATAAATGTGTAGGGGAAGGCCAGCCTTTGCAGTCACCCTGGAACAGGGAAGTCATCATCCTCCCTCAGATGATGAAGCAGTAAAAAGGGCAAGCCCTTTGGGGTAGGTGGCAGATATGCCGAAGACAGCAAGTAGAATCAATTAACTTGGATTATTTTGAAGCAGAGATTGGCTCACAACCCAAAGACAATGGATGTGAACAGTCATCAAAATAGAACCTGAAACTTAGTGATATTTTCTTTATCACTAGCAATATTTCTTCTCTTCTCAAACCTTTTATCTAAGAGGGGAAGATGTGTACATTTTGGAGCGAGCACTTAATCTAGAAACTGAAAACCCAGATTTGAGTTCTGACTCTCTTTCACTTAGTAATAACAGTACTCTTACCAACTGAGTCTCTTATTTCACAGCTTTAAATGGGAACTAGAGATTCAAAAGTATTAAGTCTCAGCTACTTTTGCCCTTGATACTTCTAAGAACCAGTTCCTGGATGCTTCATTCTCCTCTTTTTCTGGGAAAATATAAAAATTATTGGGACATTTGATTTCTTTCTTTTCCTTCCTTAAATAAGGGACTAAACCAGAGGTTGGAAAGTTACTGAGTACAATAAAGAGTGAGTAGTTGTTCAATGACCCTTCAACCTTAGCACCATCCCGGAGGGGGAAAAAATAAGAAAATTATGACAGCATTCTTTTTGTTTTAAATGTTTATTTATACCCCTGAGAGAAAACATAGCCTCTGGCCAGAAATCTCTGAAAACCAGACACTGAAGCAAGAAGGGATTGTTTGTTCTATTAACTTTAATGAAAAAGAACGAAGCAAATGTAAATACATTCCTCTATTAATATTTAAATGTGGGCACTTTGCTAAGTAAACTGCATGAACTCTGCTATGGGATAATCTTATGGGATTGCTCCTCATTTCAGGAGGATTCAATGGATTAAGAGAGACAGATTTTTCCTTTCTATTTCTCAAGATTTCATATTCAATATTAATGTCAGTGGAAGTTGCACAGAATAATAACAAAGATAAATGATTTTCAAAACAAATCTGTAGAGCTCTTTATGGGTTTCAGAATAGTTTTAGGTAGTACACATGAATACAGTGTTAGAGCAGTACTTCCATTCTACTATCTCCCCTCAATTTGAAATGTATTTGTACAAGAATTT